GTCTAGTCATGAGGCTTGAGATTGCCTGCTCTGAACATGGATGAACGTGTCTGAAAGCATACGCAAGGGACTCATTGACAGACCAAACTCAAGGAACTTGGCTTTGTTAACATTACATTTTGAAATAGAACATCTAGATTTAATGATGGACACGAAATGTTGGACTCTATACAACCAAGCCAGAGCTTCCTACAGACAATTCGAAACTAGTGGAAATAGCTGAGACTGTTTCAAAACAAGTTCTCCTTGTAGTTGATATTGGGAGGAAAACCTGTAAAGTGAATGTAGGTCACATAATCACTGAATATCTTTGCCCATTGATCTCTATCTTAGGCTAGGTTCTCTGGATAAGCGAAACCAGTAAAGCTTATCTATGTACATGTACAGAAAGTTTTAACTGAAGGCAGTGACTCACAGAGTTGTAGAGGCTAGCAAGTTCCAAGTCCATGGGTCAGGTGTCAGACTGGAGGCTTCTTCTAACTCATGTAACTTCAGTCTGATACACCGAAGCCCAGGTCAGGTGACAGGCTTCTGGCTACAGAGGTGAATGAATCCAAGATGAGCTAGTAAAATGGCAGGTGGCTGACAACTCCCAGGATCAACAGGCAATACAGCAGGCCACAGACTCAAGTCCAAAGAACTAGAGGGGAGGTGACAAGCCATATACAGGATCCACAGTCAGCAAAAAGCAAGCAAGCCTTGCCAACTTATCCACATATAATGGAAGCAGGCCCACCCCCCAAGGGAACTCCTTTCAGTTGATTGGCTGTTTATAGCAGATCTCCTTATGGAGGATGACTACCTCTTAACCACCAAACCACTGAAAATCCTAGCCCAGCCAAGTTGATACACAACCTTAACCAACACAGGCTCTGATTGAATACCTTTGCCATTGATTATCTACCTATGTAAATGCCCCCTCTCTGAACTTCCATGCTTGAAAAGTGTATCTGTTCTTCCAGAAGACAGCATGAAAGTGCCACATTGTTTCTCTGTGATCTCTGGAGTGAAGCCATCTTTAGACATGATATTTATTATCCTTATGAATCCAATTATTAGGTATTGCAACACAGTCCTTTTAAGAACCTCATTTTGGGGTGGGTGGGACTGGGAAGGGAGGGGGGGAAGAAAAGAGTAATTTTGAAGTGTGGGAGGAAGGAATACATTTACAAAATGTCACAAACGAATTGCAAGGCCTTTGTGATCTTTGACTTAATGGGAAGTTTAAGATGTTAAAACTGTATAACGGCTAGTGAGGAGACAAGGATGAGCTCAGGGTCGATTTTGTCTTTATCTAATGAACCCAAAGGAACAAGTTAGCATTACAGTTCCGTGGGAGATCTGAGCACTACTGCAGCACCTCTGCCTGCCTGCTGCTGCTACTTACATGCCTTTGGTAAGCTATACTTTCTTACACTTTGTAGCAAGCATATGCCGAACATTCCGCCCTCTAGTCCATGGGCACTCACAACTGATAGATCTGTTTTCCTCTTTTGACTTGACTTTATTTACTATCCTATCTTGATTTGTCTGGAGAAAGACAGGGCTTTCCATGCCCATCAAGAGTGACCGTGTAGGAAACCAGCAGGGGCAGTTCTACCTTGTCCTATAGGGTTTCTATGAGCCGGCACTGACTTGATGGCAGTGAGTTTGGATCTTGATCTGTAAACAAAACCCTAGAAAGCCTATAAAAATAAGTGTTTTGTGACTTATCTAGGAGTAATACAGGAAATATCACTGGTACTTTGGTGAAGAAAATTAATTTTGTGCAGTTTATTTCCATCCAGATAAAATAGGCATTTTGTCTATGTGCTTTTAAAGAAATGGCAACGATGGACAAGGGGAGGGGGAGGTTGAACTCTGGTATACTCCTGAAGGGGCTGTGAAATGGTGCAACCACTATGGAAAATGGGATGATACTTCCTTAAAAGGCTAGAAATAAGACTGTTGTGTGATCCAGGAATCCCGCCCGTAGGTCTGTGTCCTGGAGAAACAAGAGCTGTGACACCAGCGGACGTGTGCGCACCCATGCCGCACCCATGCCACGGCAACACTGCTCACAGAGCCAAACGACGGAGACAGCCTCGTCACCAGCAGTGGAGATGGGTGGGCTGAAACACACTGGCCTGCGTACATACAAAGGGATCCACCCAATGTTACAGAGCAGTGGAGAATCCGTGGGACCTGTCACAATGTGGATGTGCCTGGAGGGCATTGTCCTGAATGAAAAAAGTCAATCACAGAGGACAAATACTAGCAAGACTATTAAAAGTCAAGAATATGGTGTGAGATATGACAAAATAGTAATTTGTGATAAGGCTGACCTAGAAATAACAGTAAGGAGTGAGGAATGTACTCCTTTGAATTGGCAGCCATCTGAGACCCCAGGGCAACAAGTGCCCCAAAGGCAAGAGGGCCAGGGAGCCCAGACTAGGGAACTAAGGAAAGCCCAGGGCGGACAGGGGAGAGTGCTGACGCGTGGCAGGGGCCGCAGCCCGTCATGGGACAATTTGTGTATGCGCCATGGAACGTGAAAGTAATCTGATGGTTAAACTTTCACCCATCGCACAATACAATGTTCAAACAAACGAAAAGCAAGCAGCAGGCACCCCCAGATTCCCAAGGAAGGAATAAAGTCATGAGAAGACATGATGTTAGAGACAGAGGCACAGGTGTATGTGTGTGTGTGGGGGGGGGAGAAGGACTGCCAACCCCCTCAGTCCTCAAGAATGGATAGTCCTGTGAGAGCCATGGATACGCAAAGGTGACCTTGAAGGGCCTCTGTTTTGTGGACGACCTGGCAGTTGAATTCTTCTTGGCCCCTTCCATTTCTCTCTAAGATCTCTTGCTTTCATGTCAACATCTCTCACAAAGAGGCTGTCCCTTGATTTGCACCAAGTCCTCACTGCTTCTGAACTCTCGAACATGTTGTTAGCTGCCATCAAAGCAGGCCCCAACCCATGGCGACCCCACCCATGCACAATAGAATGAAACTGGCCAATCCTGCACCATCCCCAGGGATCCAAGGGATCCACCTGTTGGGATGCCTAGGGTTTTCACTCAGAACCACTGCTGCCCTCTGGCAGATAGTAACAGCATGCTTTCTAAACTCGTGGTCGCTACTCAGTTCTCGTTCAAGCACATCAACCTCTGAGTCAAGGTTTGCTTCCTTTAACATGGAGATGGTAATAGTAGAGCTCCCCTGGAGCTAGTTTGAAAGATAACAATGAATATGAAAGTCTTACAGCAATGGCCAGCACACAGGGAGGGCTGAATGAGTAATGGTGATTACCCAAGCCCCCCCACCCCACCCCATTGGTAAAGAAGAGCTCCCATCACTGGGTAAGGGGAAGAAAATGGGGACATTATTCATTCATACTCACATAACTGAAAAGTCCAAAGCCCTGGCCGCACTCCTTGGGAGGAATACGATGGAGGCTTTCTACTCTCTTAAAGAGTGACAGTTTCGGATACCCACCAGGACAGTCTGCCCTGCCCTGTAGGGTCACTATGGGTTGGTATCAATGCGACAGCAGTGAGGTTTTTAAAAATTACATTATAATTGCATATAATAACATTTTTAATAGACCTGCCAATTAACAAAAGTCTGTCAAGTTTGGTTTGGGCTTGGGAACGTGGACGAAGGAGTTTACTGAATGCTTGAGCAGTGTGCTATTACAGTATTACACAGTAAAGGCAGTGGGCCTTGGCTGGGGGCGGGTGTGCTATTAGGTGCGGGGATTCGGGCAGGTTCATTCTGGCTGGGTCCCCTGCTCAGAATTGGTACTTCCAGCCCAGATATACCGAATCCACATTCCACTTAACAAATGCTGCAAGAATCTAGAAGATCGATGAGAATTTCCCAGGGATCTTTTAAAATATAACGATTCTTACTAAGTACCTCTAGAGTAGAAAGCAGAGAGTTGGACTGGAATGAACTGGTTCAAAGCCCTGGCACCAGCTCACCTCTGGCCGTGGATCCTGACATGTGTCATTTACCGAGCCACTACCAGGGTCCACACAGGCACCTTACTCAGCTCCCTGCCCACCCCACACATGTCCACTCTCCGGGAAATGTTGCCTGCTCCTTTGTCCCCACGCCCGCCCCCGCCGGTGTCTGGCCGGACACTCCTCCTGTGACGCTCGGGCGGGCGGCACCTGTGACTGCCATATCGCTGCTCGATATTTCTCTTGCTGCCTCCCCTTTCTCCGAGACCTCACTCTGAGATGGAGACTGCTTACGACCGTCACTCCGTGCATCTCTCTCTCTGACTCAAAGCCCACCCTGGAGCCTCCTTTCTCAGGAGGCTGTGCAGAGGAATTTGATCCCTTCACTGCACAGTGTTCACCGCAGAGCCCGTGCTCTGTGCAGCACTGCGCTGGGTCCTAAGAACACCCCCCCCCCCCATGGAGGGGCTGATCTTTCAGGGAATGAGTTCCCTCCCAGTCCCACCTAACCACCAACCAGTGGCCATCAAGTCTGCTCTGACGCCTGGTGGCCCTACGTGTGTCAGAGGAGAACTGTGCTCGACAGGGCTGTGATGGGCTCATTTTTCTGCAGGTAGCTTGTCAGGCCTTTCTTCAATGCCCCTCTCAGTGGACTCAAACCCCCAAACTTCTGTTTGGCAGCTAGGGACTCGCAACCACAACACGCATCTCTTCCTTAGCCAGCCAACCCCAAATCAAACCCGCTGCCATCCAGTCAGGGTGGATGCACAGCACCCTCATGGGTTTCCAAGATGGAAACTGTTTGCCGGAGCAGAAAGCCCGGTCTTTCTCCGGCGGAGCTGCGGCTGGTTTAGAACTGCCCGACACCATCAGGCTCCTCCTCTTCCTTAGCATTTCCTTCAAAATGCCACCCACACCCTCCTGCCCAGCCTTAAGGTGAGCACTGCCCCTGCCGACTCAGGCTCTGAGCTCCCAGCAGTGGGACAAGATTGTTGGCGTTGTCCCCGGTGTCCAGGCCCCTCTGATGGGAGCTCCTTGTGCTGTGTCCACAGGTGACTGTTGGCTGCTGGCAGCCATTGCCTCCCTCACCTTGAATGAAGAAGTCCTGGCTCGGGTCGTGCCCTTGGACCAGAGCTTCCAGGAAAACTACGCGGGCATCTTCCGCTTCCAGGTGACTTGAGTCGTTGACGCAGCTCTCTTCTCCACGGGTCCTGGGCACAGGAGCACAGTACATTGCCACCCCGCCCCGTGTTTGTATTGTAGACCCCTGGGACCGGTGCTGTTCTCCAAAGGGCACCGGGAGTGCAGGGAGCTCGCTGGCCTGCCTCTGACATGGGTCCCCATAACAATGGCTCTGGGGAGCCTCCTTGATGACTGCCAGTTGGGGTAGCTCAGGGGGTCCAGGAAGGAATGGCCACTTCTTAGAACGAGCGGGTGGTTTGAGGCCTGAGACAGAGCGTTCAGGTCCTCCCTTTGTCCTGGTCAAGTAAGACTCGTGTGTTACGATCACCAAGCAGTCGGTAAAAGGCTCGAAGAAGGCCAGCGGAAAGCAGAGAGAGGCTCGGTGAGATGGGCTGGCGCATGGGCATCCTTGACGGTGGCATGGGACCTTACCCATCAGGTGGCTGCGGATCAGAGCCCCTGAGGGGCCAGCAGGATGCTGGGATGTGCATCAGGAAGAAGGGGCGAGCCTTCTGTGCTCAGCTCCTTGGAGCACTGCCACCAGGATGGGGCTCCTGGACACTGCCGCGAGGGACTGGGCTAGGCGGGAGCCTCGTGCTGCCCAGGACTCTGCTGCCAGCAACCCCCAACCCTGCCCTTTCTCCCCCTGGCCCGCAGTTCTGGCAGTACGGCGAGTGGGTGGAGGTGGTGGTGGACGACAGGCTGCCCACCAAGGATGGGGAGCTGCTCTTCGTGCACTCGGCCGAGGGGAGCGAGTTCTGGAGCGCCCTGCTGGAGAAGGCCTATGCCAAGTAAGTGACCACAGCCCCGCCCTAGGGCGCCCCCCCTCATGCAGCTCAGCCCCGGATTCCAAAACAGCATTCATGGGTGGCCATATGTTTCTGCAGAGAATGCACTCGGCTTGTGTGGTTTTTTTTTGGTAAACCACACAGGAATTTGTTTCCTATGCACTCTGCAAGCTATCTGTGTGGACCGTTATATGGGGCGATGTAGTGCTGTGATCAGAAGTCCTACACTGTAGGGCTACGTTAGCCCAAATCGGGCGCTAGCTAGAGGAAGATGTGCCTGGGCCCATCACACTGACAACCGACAGGCACTGCCATTTCCACCCACGGCACAGGGACCAGCTATGGCCCTGACTGTGGTGGCCTGGGGAAGGAGGCTGTGTCTCCTCGGCAGGGCACATTACAGAGAGTTTTTGCAAATGGGCAAAAATGATTAAGATTATGGAAACATGCCCAGAATATAAAGCCCCTGGGTGACCAAAAAGGGAGTCCTGCTAAGCACAAGGTCAGCAGTTCAAAACCACCAGCTGCTCTGAGACAGAAAGACAGAGCTTTCTACTCCCATAAAGAATTCCAGCCTCATGTATGGATTATAAAAAGAGTTGTCCAAACCCCCAATACAATGATTTTTTAAAAAAGAATTCCAGTCTCAAGAAACCCACAGGGGCCGCTCTACCCGGTCTCCATGAGTTGGCATCAACTCGATGGCAGCGCGTTTGGTTCTTCCAGTTTAACTTGTAGTTTTCACCCAGCTGCTAATCAAAAGGCTGCAGTCCAAGACCACCCAGTGGCACCCTCCAAGAGAGGTCTGGAGGTCTGTTTGCATAGAGATGACAGCCAAGAAAACGCTGTGGAGCTTCATGGTACTCTCACTCTGGGTCACCCACGTCAGAATCGACCGTCCAGCAACGGGTCTGCTGTTGTCGTGTGTGTGTGTGTGTGTGTGTGTGTGTGTGTGTGTGTGTGTGTGTGATGTTGTGACCTGGGCTACCATCTTTGGTGTAACTGGTAAAAATGGTTGCTGGACACCCCTCCTGACTGCTTGGCCAGTGCTTGCAGCAGGGAAACCCAACTGGCCCCTCTCCAGGCGGCTCTCACCCTGATGGTGCAGCCAAGCCCCTCCAGTAAAGCCCCTGGCTTCAAGACAGAGGGCGGGCTGTTGTTCCTCCACCCGTTGCCTAGGAATAGCAGGGATTCAGCACACAGCTGTGAGACCTGGGACCCGGGGGTGGGGGTGGGGGTGGCTCAAGGGGTAGAGAAGTCACCAGACGCCACTCCGCTCTGCTCCCCCCACCCCCGAGCTAGGATCAATACGCCCATGCCCACACAGTCTCCTTTTGTGGGAGGCTGCTGTTCTGATGAGGTGGTGGTTGCATTTTAAGCTGTTAATGTCCAGCAGTCAGTGTGCTCACCTCCTGGCTCCTGCTCGGGGCATCGGACTGGGGCATCACCACAAGCCTTCCTTCTCGGAAACTCTGTGAGCTCGTTTTACAAACTTCTCCGAGTCCCAGGGAGACAGTGACTGTGGAGGCGACACCCTGCCTGGAGAATCTGCGTGTCACACGGGGCAACAAGTTGCCCAGGGGAACCCTCTGAGGGGCCATTGTGTCAGGAGCCTCTGTTTCCCTCCTTAGGGTCAACGGGTGTTACGAGGCGCTCTCGGGGGGCTCCACCACCGAGGGCTTCGAGGACTTCACCGGAGGCATCGCTGAGTGGTACGAGCTGAAGAAGGCCCCTCCCAACCTCTTCAAGATCGTCCAGAAGGCGCTGGAGAAGGGCTCTCTCCTGGGCTGCTCCATTGATGTAAGTCCAGGCCTCCATGCCCCCACGGCTGTGGAGACCCATGACCCCTTCTATATAACAGCAGCCCCAGCCGGCCCACCCTATCACTGTCTACAGCGCTTGAGAGAATGTTGGTTCTGGGTCACAGCCAGGCTGGCTAAGTGATGATAACAGTGCTTCCAGACATTTCCACCCCAGCCCGCTCCCCAACTCGCAGCTCCTTCTGAATGACCGCCCCAGACCATGGGTTTTCAGGAAGCCTCCTGCCTTGCGTTAGTCAGAAGGAAGAACCACACTCAGTTCTAGGACTAATGGGCCTGTGGGGAGCCTTCAGCAGGCCCAGAGAGAAACCATTTCCTCTTCACAGCTGTGCTGGGAAATCTGACGGGGGGAGGGGGGAAGAATGGAGGTGGGCATGGTGTCCTGACTCCAAGGAGCCTAGAGGCAGTGTCCTGAGCCCTGTCCTGTCCAGGACCCCATGCCTGCAGGGACAGAAGCTAGAAAGGCTGGCGCTGCCGGGCTGTAGGTGGAGACATGCGTGTTTTTCCTGCAGACCTTGGCAAGGAAAAAGCCCCTTTGTACGGCCAGGCCTTCTCCCCAGTGTCCAAGACCAAAATAGCCACCTTTTTCAGAATAGATGGGAGAGAGGAGTGGTTTGGGGGGTGGGGGGCGGGTTCTGAACTCAGGCCCTAAACCCCTAACATCATACACCGTGATGCTGGCCTAGCCAGGCCTGGGGCTGGGAAATCCATGAAGCAGATACATAGTACATGTGAGCAGGCATGCCTGCAGCTGGCTCAGGGCCACTCCCCCAGAGGGCTGCATCCAGGCGATCCTCCTGTTGCTGACAGGAGGCCTGCCTGGTGGCACAGTGGGTTTAGCATTGGGCTACCAACTACCAGGTCAGCGGATCGAGCCCACCAGCTGCTGCGACAGAGCAAGGTGAAGCTGTCTGCTCCCCAAAGGATTTGCAGTCTTGGAAACCCAAAGGGGGCAGTTCTAATCTGCCCTGTGGGGCCTCTAGGACCATTTGGGTTTTTGTCTGTGTTCCTGGTGCAGTACACAACCGAAAGCAAGTGGGATGGAGTCTCAGGGAACTGAAAGCAGGGGGGTGGAGTCTCAGGGGTTGGAAAGCAGGGCTCCCCACCCTCTCGCCCCCAGGCCAGGGCCCCTGCTGCCCCCACCCCCAATGGTAAGGCCCAGTCACCCCCAGCATTGGGGGGGTGTTCATGGTGGGACAGCAGCTGATCCTCCCCTTTCGCAGATCACCAGCGCAGCGGACTCAGAGGCCGTCACCTTCCAGAAGCTGGTGAAGGGACACGCGTACTCGGTCACCGGAGCCGAGGAGGTAACGCCCCGCGGGGATGCTCGAGGGTCCTTCTGCCCTCCAGCGGCGGCCAGCAGCACCGTGCGGCCCATGTCGGCCCAGGGCGGGGCGCGCATTGTCGCCTGGCGGTTCCACGGGCCTGACTTTCGTGTGTCCAAACAGGAATTGACCTTCCCTTCCGGAGGGAGCCGGGCCGCCAAGTGTGGGCGCACTGCCCCCCGGTGGCCGCAGGGTTCTCTGCGGGCGTTGTTTACTCCTTTGTCATAGTCTCAAGGGCCCGCTTATGAAAACAGTTCAGACAGTCCTTTATAGCGTCGTAATATGTAATACTCCTTAGAAGAGTGTTCCCATCCTCTCACCAAAACCCTGTCTCTAAAGCCCAGCAGCACAGCCGTGGGGCCTAGGCAAGTCCTGCCCCTTTGTTTTATGGTCTTGAAAATGGAAATCACAACCATGTTATGACCCTGCGGAGGCCACCAGGATGATTAAATCATGCCGCTTGCTCGGTCTGAGAAGTCCCACTGCTATTGACGGCTGATCAATCACAACACGCCACTTAGCGAGCAGCGCACGGCCCCTGCTAGTGCCAAGACCCAGGCCTCCAGGCATTTCGCGCGCGCGCGCATGTGTGTTCAGTGTCAGGTATTTTTTTGTTTTTCTTGCCAGCCCATCTTCTGATTTTAATGAATACTGTCCGTGGTACGACTTCGTGTTGCAGCTGAAGTCCCATAAATGGGGTCCTAGAATGCATGCCCCTTTGTGACGGATTGCTCAGACTCAGCCGCGAGCTTCCAAGTTTCATCCGTGGCGTAGCCTGGTGGCTCGGAAGTAGGCCATTGGTCTGTTGAGGGACCGCTCCACTGTCTCCACCTTCCAGCTGTTGTGAATAATGTGCCGTGTGCGTTGGTGGGACCCAGGTCCTTTTGATTCGCAGTGAAGTTCCCTGAACTCCTGTGATAAGAGTGCACCCTACTCTCTTCAGTTCAGCTATGGTTCAGAGGGGTCAAGTGCCAAAGCCAAGTCTAGAGCAGCGTGTGTGCCTCAGACTCAGGACAGAGATGAAAAGACCACTTTCCAGAACTGGGCTGCAGCGAGAGGTCTAGAAGTTGAGCCCGCCCGCCCCATGCTTCAGGGAGCTTGGAACTGGAGTCACCCTGGCCTGGCTCAGCCCTCCTCTCCTCCTGCAGGTTGAAAGCAATGGAAGCCTACAGAAACTGATCCGCATCCGGAATCCCTGGGGGGAAGTGGAGTGGACCGGGAAGTGGAATGACAAGTGAGTAGTTCCGGCAGGGGGGGAGACCTGGGAGGGGAGCAGAGAGGAAGCTATAGGGGTGGGTGGTCAGCTTTAGAGGCCCTGACCAGTGGAGAGAGAGGAAGACGTGTGATGTGCAGGCCCCGGGCTCACAGGCAACATTAGTTGAATATCCACGAGCAGGCGGCACCTTTGCTAGGGGTCGCGTCACCGGTACTCTTAAAGTCCTTGGGCGATGCACACATTGAATGCACTCCGCTGCGTGAGTCTGTCTAGAGGGGGTTACACTCTGGCCAGCAGTTCAAAACCACGTCCGTGGAAGATGAGATTTTCTGATCCGGTAAAGATTGACATCTTGGCAACCCAAAGGGGCAGTTCGCCGTCCTATGAGGCCACCATACATGAACTCCTCTGGGTGGGGATGAGTTCGAAGGCACCTTGGAAGGTGTGATCTAAAGCGGTGATTTCCGAAAAACCGGCCATTGAAAACTCTGCGGAGCACAGGTGTGAGTCCACAGGCCGGTGCTGAGTCACAGTCTCGCCAGCAGGAAGGGATTGGCCGGCGCCCTCCTGCCGGTGGTCAGAGGGCCAAAGGCCCAGGGCTCCTGTGATGCTGGTGCTGGCACTCATGGTTAATGCCTCCTCTGGCTCAGATTCACCAGCTTAGAGGCTTTCATCAAACCACCCTGCCACCCCCAAGCACTGCTTCTTCATTTTTCCTTGAACATTGTATCGTGGTTCCGTCTTTGTTTACAGAACCCATTAGCTTCCTGCTCAACCATTTATGTGCATTTCTTCTCGTGATTTGGTTGGCATTCCCCTCAGGTAACGGCACTCCTCCCACTCCCTCTTTGGGTTCCCCACTTCCATTCATCTTTTCATCCTGCCCACGCCTGCCTTTCGGTCTCATGTTGTTGATGGTTCCCGGGACGACATTCCTCCGGGTCTTGTCAGTCACTGTCTAGGCCTAGTGCTTGGTGGAAACCTGGGCTGGGCTCTGTGTCCGTCTTTGAAGGGCTCTAAGGGCCACAGGCTCTACCAAGTCTCTCAGACCAGTCAGTCTGGACCGCCTTAGGATTTGGAATTTGGTTCTCTATGTTTCCCCCCTTTCTGTCCAGGAGACTTTTATGATCCTAATCAGAGCGGTGGGTACTGGTTATTGGGGCACCATCTCAAGGTTCTAGAGGCTGTGGTTCACCTGGTCCCGTTAGCCCTCGGGGCTAATTTTCAAGCACTTGTTCAAGTCCTTAGGCTATGAGCTTTCACGCCAAAGGCCAGAGAGAAGTTCCTGTGTGGCCTTCAGGAATTTACTGGAAGGGCTTTTGAGTACTGCCTCATCTGGGCTTCTCTCTCCCTGGCTTTCCTCCGGCTCCCTGCGCTAGCAGACACCTAGCAAGGCTTGCAGGCCGCCTCTCGGAAACGCTGCTCACCAGACTTTCCGTTGCCCTAAAGGAGTTGCAAGGCCCGTCTCTGTTTAGGCAGCAGAAGCCTCTCTCTCTCAAGGGTTGTGTTCATTTTCTGGACTCTTCTTTGCCACCGTCCTCCCTCCCCTGAGGCCCTTGGCTACCTGTGTGCTCCCTGCCCCCTCCCTTCTGTGTCATGGCCCTCAGAGGCGAGAGTGAGTGTCCTTGTTGCCCACTCTGGGGCGCCTCACGGAGACGACATCCCCCTCACCAGTATCTAATGCCTCCCCCGCTCCGTTGGATTCCAGCTGCCCGAACTGGAACACTGTAGACCCCGACGTGAGGGAACAGCTGACCAGGCGGCACGAAGATGGAGAGTTCTGGTAAGATGGATAGACTTCTGGCAAACTGGTACCTGCCCGTGTGTTTTACTAGAAAGCAGCTCAAAGAGGAGGTGATTGTGTTGGGGACAGAGGGACTTTGTATCCATGTGTGTGTCTGTCTGTCTCTTCAATCCACCATCTCTGGACCCTGAACAAAAAGGTCTTGAACATTACTGTCTTCAGCATGTCCACCTGCTGCATCAGGTGGACTCAAAAGGCTGAGAGGATTCCCTCAAAACAAGGGACAAGATGAGGAAGTCTTTTCCTCGACTTTTTCCCGGGAATTCCTCCCCACACCTTAAGAAACCAGCCCCCAGTGAGCAGTGCGGTACCCACTTGTCTGCACCCCTCTGAGGACCATCAGCCTCCACAAGGACAGGGCCATAGCGGACCTGCGAGTCTTCCTTACCCAGTGCTCACGTGGCCCTCAGCCTTGCAGATGAGCCGGTGGAGCTCCACCCAGCTGGGAGGTGGCAGAGCCACCACTGGGAGTAGAGACTCCTAATTCTGGACCTGCTGCCCACTGACCCTAAGGTTCTGCCTCCAGGCTGCCTGCCCGCCCGCCTGGCCTTTGGCAGAAGCGCAAGACTGGACCTGTGTGTCCTCATGTAACCCCTGGGGTGTCCCTCCTCTGCTTTTGTCAGGATGTCTTTCGGCGACTTCCTGAGGCACTATTCCCGCCTGGAGATCTGCAACCTGACTCCCGACACACTCACCTGCGAGTCCTACAAGAAGTGGAAGCTCACCAAGATGGATGGGAACTGGAGGCGGGGCTCCACTGCCGGAGGCTGCAGGAACTACCCGAGTAAGGACAGGGGTCTGGGGAGGATGGACCCACCCTCCCTGCTGCCTTCTTGAGTAAGCCTCACTTGCAGCACCCACCTCTGCCACCTGAGCGCCTTGACCCTTTCCATTCACTTGCCTCCCTGCCCGGAACCCAAGACCTGCTCTTTCTGGAATGTCCTCTTCAGATGCTGGAGTCCCCTGTACCCCATCCCCCCAAGGCAGTATTCCATGCCATGAGCCACTTCTCCCACACTAGGCCTGCAGGGAGCTGACCCTCTGCACCGAGAGCCCTCTGCATCTTCCTGACACGTGCAGGGGAGGGGGGGGGCACGGCCTTTCACACTGGCCCACTCACCCTCTGTGGTTCCCTGACCTCTTCTACTTTGACCACTCGGTTCTCACACACCCTCCCTCAGAAACCATCTAATGATGATGACAGCTGGGGCGCTAGGGACTCTCCTAGGGGAGATACACACACACACACACACACACACGTCCTGCCATTTGCTAACATCTGAGGGAGGCCCTTGGTCATCACCTCCATGAGTGCCTGGGCCTGGGAGAGGCTCCATGACTTGCCCAAGACCTTGCACTCAACAAGCTGAGATTTGAACCCAGGAAGTCTGATGGAGCAGCCACTCTCTAAGTCCTGTGATGGGCAGGTCATGGTCATCCACAAGCTCTGTTACAGAGGAGGAGACTGAGATGCGCAGGGGCTGCCCAGACCCACAGAGCAGCCACATAGGGAGGGGCCAGCTGGCAGGCGCCCTGACTCCACCTCACATACTTATGCAGCCACCAAGAGGTGGTCTCAGAGGATCTGAGGAGGCACCCAGCCTCCCCCCAGAGAGCCCTCCTTCTCTACCCACCAAGTCAGGGGTTGGCAAACTCTCACTGCAGGGCCAGCAGGTGACTGGTTTCAGCTTTGTGAGCTCTTTGGTTTCTGCTGTAGCCCGAAATCAGTCGTTGATGATGCACAAACCGATGTCTGTTGCCGGGTCCCAGTAAAAATTTATTGACAAAACGTGGCCGCAATCCACAGGGCTGTAGTTTGCAGACCCCTGCATTAGATGAATATCTCCGTTAGAATTTTACCCCATTTAAGCATGCATGAATCCCAGGAGCTATGGACCAGTTTTGGAAGTGGGGAGGGCAGACAAGGCCCTGAGGAGATGGCAGAAACACCTACAGGGGGCCCCTGGCCTCGGGTTCACTGAGGGGCTCCTGTGAGGGGACGGCAGGGCCCTGGGCCAGCCTCTCCCAGACCTTCGCGGCAGAGGAAGGTGCCACTAGAGGGAGCCTGCACACCTGGGAGGGACTGTGGGGACAGGGTATTCGGCAATGTCCCCACAGTTTCAGACAAGCACAGGGCAACCTCTCCTCAACCCACCCCCCAATCCCACCCAGGTGGAGCTGTCAACTTCAGCTGCTCTTGTCGTGCCCCCCACCCCCACCCCTAATGTGTAAGCAGCTTCCAGCCGGCTCTAAACCGAGGGACCAGGGGTTACCTCGGGGTGCCCTGCCCTCACAGGGCCGGGCTCCCCGGGGCTGGGCTCTGACCTCAGCCACGCTCTGGCTGCAGATACGTTCTGGATGAACCCCCAGTACCTGGTCAAGCTGGAGGAGGAGGATGAGGACCAGGAGGACGGGGAGAGCGGCTGCACCTTCCTGGTGGGCCTGATCCAGAAGCACCGGCGGCGGCAGAGGAAGATGGGGGAGGACATGCACACCATCGGCTTCGGCATCTATGAGGTGGGCAGGGGTGGGAGGCCAGACAGGGCACACAAAGCCATGGCCCATCCAGTCTTTTCTCCCCTCCCTCCCTAAAGCTAGCCTTATCATCAAGCGGTTCCAAGCTGGTGGCTGGGTCCCCATAGCCAACGCCCTAAGATCTGCTGTCGAATGGCCACCACTTGTGACCTTCTGGGCAGTGACACCAAATGCTGCCCAATCAGCCCTGGCATCCCCACAGATGCCCGCCCCTGGCCCAGATGGGCTGTGGGCCGGACCACTGACTGGTTTTGAGAAGTAGATGGTCGGGACTTCAGCATCTGTTTGAGTCTGATCGCTGTACAGAACCCCGTTCCACACCATCACAGAACACACACGTCCTGGGACGTACACTCTAGCATGGCCTCTGCGTTCCTTCCAAGGCCCCTTCTCTGTGCTCTGGTGTGCCGGCCAATCTCCACAGGACAAGGAGACTTAAGAAGGGAACAGAGTGTCCTGGACCACGCTGGGAGCTATTGTGAGGGCAGGAACTGAGCCAGCGGGGCCAAGCCCAGTAGAGTCGGTGGCCTGAAAGGCGGCAAGCACAAGGGGCAGGGACAGTCAGTCATCCCGCAAGCCCCAGGGGTCCACGGCTGGGTCCCAATGCCACCCCCGCAGACGCTCTCTGCCCACTGGCCCCACTCTCCTTCGCAGCCAAGGGAAGAGAAGCAAGCCCCATGCAGCCCAGTCAGAGGGGTGGGCCCAAAAGCATCACTGACAACCTTGGGTTAGCAGTGGGCTAGGAGGGCAGCGAGGAGACCCTAGGGTGGCTGAAGTGGGGTACACAGCAAAGTGGCTTGGAAATGGCCACAGTGGTCATACTGACACAACAGAGATTAGCAAGTAGCACACGTCAGGGTGCCCTTCCCTCCCCCAGCCCCCCAAGAAAGAGGCTGGGCCAAATGTACATAATTCCAAAGCCCCCCATCCCCGACTTCAGGTCAGGGACAAAGTAACTCCAAGGCGGAATTGTGGGACACGGACCCCTACTCCTCCCCAGCCGGGCTTGGACAACCAGTCACAGATCTGGGATCAAGTGTTCCCACGGAGAGACCAGAAACCGAGGCTAGAGAGGGCAAGTGCATGGGCAGCAGAAGTCTAGGTGGGATGTGCACACAGGAGCCTAGACCTAATGGCTCCTTCCCCAGAGTGTGTCCCTGTGGCCTCAATGTGGCCTCTGACCGGGCAGCTTGCCCAAGGTGGCGGCAGGCTGGGACCTTAGGCCGCTTCCTCAGTTTTCTGTGCTATGGTGTGCTGAGAATGGTAGAGACAGTCCATCCACACCCTTACCAAACCAAACCAAACTCACTGCCATTGAAGCCATGCAACCCCCTGTGGGTTTCCGAGACGGTAACAAGATGGGAGTAGCAAGCCCAGTCTTAGGTGCTTTCAAACTGCCGATCATGTGGAGCGCAGCCCAACAGGTAACCACTGCCCCACCAGGCTCCAACACCATTACCAGGAAGCTGTATTGAAACATGGCAATGCTTGGGGTTCCTGGAAAGGTCGTCTCCGTGTTGATTGGTTAGGACGACTGTGAATGCTCCTGAGAAAGGGGCTAGCCAAGGAGACAAGTTAGTGATGGCGTGTTTGCATACTGCTCTCCTGGAGTCTGACTCAAGTGCGGTTCCCCTTTCTCTTGGCAGGTTCCGGAGGAGGTACGTCTGGCACCCGTCCCTGGGGCTCCCCAGCATATCAGAGGCTCCAGCTGTCGGAGCTCAGGAAGTATCTGGAAGCGTGGGTGGGGGACACTGGCTATGGTGGAGCAGTCTAGGGCCCTCTGGGGTCCTGTGAGGTTGCCCAGACCTCAGTGGTCTGAGACCCAGCAGTCCCAGTGAGCCCACGCCTGACTTAGGTCCAGGTCAGAAGCCCATCATAGCCCTTCAAACCAGCCTAACGGGAAGCAGTGCCCCAGCAGACGGTAGAGCGGACCATGTGGGGGACTGGTTCATCCCAGCTCTCCCACGTGTAGGCTGTCTCTCCTCAGACAAGACGCATGTCCTCTCTGGACATAAGTTTCTTCTTCAGTGAAACTGGGCAGCTGTCCCACTTCCCCCGTTCACTGTGGGCATTTGATCAAGGAGTCACTGTGGTAACAGAATCGCGTCAGTGCCGTGGGCCAGCTCCAGCTGCCGTCAGGTCCACCCACATCAGGGCGAGCTGTGCCCCGCAGGGCTCTCCGTGACCGAGTGCTTGGGGTACAGATCTTGAGGCCCTTCTTGCAAGAGACTTCTGGGCGACTCGAACCTCAACCTCTCAGTTCGCAGCCAAGCACGGTCGCCATTTACGCCACACTAAGGGAGCCCTCGCGACAGGTCACGCTACTGCAACCCGGGGACGCACGGGGCACTCTCACGGCCACCGTTACGTTGCTTTCCCAGCAAGGCAGTGGGACCGTTGCACCTTGAACTTCCCGGGGGGGGGGGGCTGCTGGTGAAGTCTGGCCCCACCCCTGTAAGCCTGCCCACACTGGCTAGAAGCAGGGCTGCTGCCCTCTCCTGCCCCCAGTGGTATCTTTGCTCGGATTCGTGTGTCCTTACCACCCTTACAATGGGACCAGGTTTGTGCCCTGAGATTCACGCAGACCAGTGTTGCCCAGAGTGGATGAGACCGCCCCCTGGCGGGCACTGGAAAAATCAGGGAGGCGGCAAAAGCTGATGCCACACTGCTGGATGATGGGCTAGCATACAGAGGGGTTTCATTGCCACGGGGTGCTGAGTTATAGATGGATGTTTTTGCTTTTTTTCTGGAAAGGAGGTACTAGGCCAATAAGGTGGGGAACCTATGCCTTAGAGGAAGGCTGAGGGATGTCCTGTGGAAAGCTAGGCCATTTTGCCAACCACACGGTGTCTGGGAGCCCTGAGACCCAGGCTTATGACTCCCTCAGCCGACATTTCCAGCAGGAAGCTTTCATCTTACCTCAGCCGGTCTGGACATTGTCTCCATACTCCCCGGGTCTCCACGAGGGCGGGTGGGCCTGCTTTGCAGCCTGGCTCTCTCTCCTGCCCCTTGTCTCTCTGTTCCTCCACCAGTTCTCTGGGCAGACCAACATCCACCTCAGCAAGAACTTCTTCCTGACGCACCGAGCGAGGGAGCGCTCGGATACCTTCATCAACCTCCGGGAGGTGCTCAACCGCTTCAAGCTGCCTCCGGGAGAGTACATCCTGGTGCCGTCCACCTTCGAGCCCAACAAGGATGGGGACTTCTGCATCCGGGTCTTTTCTGAAAAGAAAGCGGACTACGAGTAGGTGGTTCTGCCCGC